AACCCGCAGCCTTGCTGCGGTTTCATGTATTTACATTTACTCGTTTTTAATTATATACATTTTCTCTTAAAAATATTTTTAAATATTATTATTTTAAATTTAGTATATTATTGTTTGAAGTAAAATAATAATTAATAAATCATTAATTTTTAAATATTATCATTTTAATCACTTTATATAAGTTTAATTTTATTTAAAAAGAATTAAAAATAAAAAACACATATAAAGAAATAAAAAAATACATATAAAGAAGTAAAAAATAGTTATAAAATAATCTATAAAGAAATAAAGATTAGTATAATTTTTTTATAATAAAATAAAGAAGGACGTTCACAATAGGCTGTCCATCTTATATCAAGTCTGGATACTTGACTGGTAACTCTCGCAAATTGTATTCCCGATGGGATTCCAGTTCTTTATTTTAATTATAAAAAATAAAAAAACTATAAAGTAATAAAAAAAGCTAAACTATAAAGAAATAAAAAAAAGCTAAACTATAAAAAAATAAAAATAAAAAGTTTTTATAATAGAATAAAGAAGGACGTTCACAATAGGCCGTCCACCATATATCAAGTCTGGGTACTTGACTGGTAACTTTCACAAATTGTGTCTCCGATGAGATTCCAGTTCTTTATTCTAAATATAAAAATAATTTAATTGAAAATTTCTCTATATACTATGTTCTTGGTATAAACGTTTGTCGTTCCGTTGTCGGATTCATCAGTTCGTGGATTTATCAACAAAATTTTAATACTTTCACATGAAGTCACTCTAGAAAGAGCTACATAGAGTTGACCATGTGAAAAAACTGGTTGTGGTAGATATAAACCAACTAAGGGGATTGTTTGATCTTGTCCTTTATTGATAGTCAAAGCATAGGCCAAATGAACTAGAAATTGTTTACGAATCAAAGTAAATGGGTGGGTAAACAGTATCAGTTGGAGATAAAGTCATTTTTGGAAGAAAAACTTTTTTTCCAAGAAATGATCCTGTAAGGATTTCACAATCTAGAACATGATTATGAAATTCTCTTACAATAAGTCTAGTTCTATTGCATAAACCTTCAGAAGAATTTAAATTTCTTAAAAGAATTACAGGTACTCTAGCTTTAAGAATAAGCTTATGTAGTGGCAAGCCACTTGGAGTAAGTGTGTTAAGAAATTCTATAGGATATAAACTCTCATGTACTGAGTCATTATCCTTAACTGAATCAGTAGATAAATATGTTTGTCCTTCTTCTGGAACTAAGTCAAGTATTTGATGATTTATTAATTCAACATCATCATTTTTAGGTGTCAAAATAGCTCTTTCAATGATATAATTTATATCATTGTAATTAGTAGAAATATTTGGAAATATTTCTGATATCAAGTCAGTAACTGTAGTACCATTTATAATCATTTGTTGTGGCACTTTAATATAATCCCTCCAATTGTTAGTTCTCTACTTTTACCAATTCTTAACAAAAAGTTTACAAAACCTTGTTGTAATGGATCTTGTAAAACTCTCATATTAATAGTTAATCTCATAATATGAGTATCACCTCAAAAAGAAGCTTTTTTCAAACTTGAATTAATAACTTGGGTCCTAGAACCTCGAGGAACTATTGGTAATATTTGTCGAAAGTCACCGCCAAATACCATTATTTTTCTACCAAAAGGCTCAAGTTGATTGCCCATTATATCCTTAAAAGATTGATCAACTACTTCATAAGCCAACTTGCTAATCATTGGGGCTTCATCCCAAAGAATAATTGCAGTATTTCTAATTAGAACTGCTAATTCAGATTGCTTATGAATATTACAGGTAGATTTTTCTGTAAATACCAAAGGAATCTTAAATCTTGAGTGAGCAGTTCTATCACCAACAATTAATAATGCTGCAATGCCAGATGAAGCAACAGCTAAAGCAATATATCCTTGGCTTCGAATATATTCTAATAAAATATTATACAGATAGGTTTTTCCGGTTCTACCAGGCCCATCAATGAAAAATATTTTTTGATTTCCATTATGAAAAACAGAAATAATTATTGTATCAAAAATTAACTTTTGTTCTGGATTTAAAGTATCTATTTTTGATATATAATCATCAAAATAAATCTGTTCATAACTTGTTTCTTCAATAATAATTGATTTGTTGCTCTCTTTCTTGAGATTGTTCCAAAAAAGCCAAATCAGGAATTGGAAGTTCAGGAAAATCTGAAAGTGATTTTCCATTTTGAAATAAATATTTTTCAAGATTCAAAAGAACTTGGGTGACTATTCTTGGATCATTATAATCTAAAGTAACACGTTTAGAGTTTGAATTGTATACAAAATCTTCTAATAAAGCAGGTAGATGAGTATTCCAAAGTTCTAAAACATTTGTAGGCCTGCAATATATTAAAATAGTTGCAAATAGTTGCCTTAGTTGTTTAGGCATCTGATAAAGTGATGCCTCTCTAAGACACAAATCCCACTCTTGGTCATTTTCTATTAAACCAAGTTGAATTGCAGCTATTTTAAAAGTAGGATATACAATATTGTTAACAGTTCTCAAATGCTCAAAAGATGTTGGTCCTTTGACATGAGTTAAAAGTAATCTGAGACAATATCATTCCTCATCTCTTGGATTAACCATATACATTCTAGCAATAGTTTTATCACCTCGTTGCTTTCTTGGTTTCCATTGACTATTGCTCCAAGTAAAATGGTTTTGAAAATCAGTGTATAAAAGATCACTTGCAAGTGGATGTTCTGCACAAATTTTAAAAAATTTTGTCAACTTGGTATCTAACTTTTCATTCAATAAATCAGATATGCTTATTGAATTACTATATGTTGTTTTTCCAAGTGCACAGGTAATCTTTCAATATGATGAGATTTTTCTTGAAGATTAAAATCGAATAATCTCCAGCAAGCTTCTGATGCAGAAATATATCTTGTATCTAAATAATTTCTAATCTCATCAGAATTATCTCGATTATTCTGATGATTATTCTGATTATTATTCTGATTATTTTGATTATCAGAATTATTATTAGAATTATTATTAGAATTATTTTCAACAGAAACAATCGCTCTATCCGAACCTTTGTAAACATATTTATAGAGATATTTTACTAATTTAACACTAGAACATATCTCTATATTGATATGACAATTATATTTTAAAGAAAGATATGGATTATATGGAACAACCTATCTGTTATTAAGTATTTCATCAGATTTTATAACTGAATAACCAGGATTTCTTCTACGATAGACTAGATAACCATTTTTATTTACAATAGTTATACTATTAAAATTACGTGGATAATTTTTACTACATTTACCATCTTTCATACATGGAGAAGATAAATTTAAATTTCCACATGGACCATGCACCATATATTGAGTAACAATTTCATAAAGCTGAGATTGTGTAGCTGGATCTGAAATCTCAGCAGATATTATATTGTAATAATCATCAGAAGTTTGTAGTTTATCTTCTGGAATAAGTATTATAAGTATATGTGCATGTGATAAGCCTTGTTTTTGAAATTCAATTACTTGAATATGAGCCACATTGCATTCTAATATACTTTTTTTATATAAATCTTTAGTAATTTCTTTTAACTTTAATCTAAAGACTCTTGATTCAAGATCTGGTCTATTATTGAGTTTTTACCTATCTAAAAGTGCTTTAGTTATTTCAGGCCATTTAGAATTACAGGTTACTGTTATAAAAAGATCTGGTTTACCATGTTCTCGTACAGTAGCTATAGCATCTTGATATAACTGTTGCATATATCGTTTTGAACCTGTAAATGATGAAGGCAAAATAACTTTTCTTCCAATATTTGAAGGATCAGCTTCATCATTATTAACAATATCTTCTAATCCTTTATAAAATTCAGCTCTTAAATGGGTTTGATTTTTTCTATATCATCTTAATATATTTTGCTCATATTTTGCATATTGATCAACAATATATTGTTGAAATAAATGTCCTGCAAGATGCAAAATACTATCAGAATGTCTTATCTGTAATCTATAACATGCAAACTCTCTAATTGTTACATGTCTTTCTTTAGCCTGAGAACGATTTGGATTTAATTGTAAAGATTCCTTTAATTTATTAGCATTGTTATTAGGTATAATATTTTGCAAAATACTAGTATGCCATCCATATTCACTTCTTGGAAAAAGAAGTGGGTACTGTAATAGATCATAGGCACTATGCAATTCTGATATATGTTGCAAATAACCCTGTAGTGTAGTAAGAATAATATCTCTACCAGAGTCAATTTCATCATCATCATTAATTATAGCTGCAATTTCTGAAGCAGTTGGTGTATTGTAGGTTCTCATATCTTGACCATGTATAGATGAAATTTTTAATCTCAAATTAGAATTAGAATTAACTTGAAATTGCTGTCTAGCACTTTGAAAAATTTGGACAAAAGGATTAAGTTCATTAAGTTCAGTTTGAAGAGATCTTATCATATTTAAATTTAAATTTAAATTTAAAGAAGTATGATTTCTTATTTCAAACTGAGTATCAAAATCACTATTATAAAAATAAATTTGAGAAAATACAGGCAATCCTGATATTGGTCTTAAAGAGCCTATATTATGATATACAGCTCCAGAAATTTTAAAAACTCAAAGTTTATCTGATTCTAAAATACTTGTATCTTGATTTACACCCAAAGATGTAAAAGCAAATGCAGAATTATAAGATCATATTTTTTGAATATATCTCTCACCAGCATTAATGTCCGATTCAGTTAATAACTATAAAATAGCTAGCGGAGGAGGTTCAAGTAATGCTAATTGAATTTTGCCATTTTTACAACAAAATCCTAATGTTTCAGATTTCCACTTTAAAGCTTGACAATGATTACATCAAATATTCATATTGTCAAGCTTATGCTGCCATTCTAAAAGATCAAATTCATTTTCTCTTTCTATAGTAAAATTATCCAAACTACATCTTGCAATATTTTGAGATTGTGCTGCTTGTTGAGTTGTATGATGCTGGTGTTGAATTCTATTTGTTTCTCTTATTTGTTGTCATTGCTCTGGTGTTAATTGTTGTCGATACTTTTGTTGTCTAATTCTATTAGATTCTCTTCTTTGCAAGTTTGGTAATGGATCAAAAGAAGTTGATTCATTAAAGAATTTAGCAAGTGTTGTTGAAATAAAAGATTGGGAGCCACCAGATGCTGATACTGATTCCAAACTTGCTATTGCTGGGGTTGTTGCTAAGAGTGTTGCTGGAGTTGTTGCTAGGGTTGTTGCTAGGGTTGTTGCTGGGGTTGTTGCTGGGGTTGTTGCTAAGGTAGTTGATGGGGTTGTTGCTAAGGTAGTTGCTAAGGTTGTTGCTGAGGTTGTTGTCGAAGTAGTTGCCAAAGGTGATGTTGAAATTGATATTGCAGATGTAGCAGTAGATGATGGAACTATATAACCTGAATTATCTCTATACTATTTAGTAACAGCTTTGCATTTGGCATCTAATCTTTTTTTTTTAACTGCTTCTTCTTCTGGGCGATGGATATGCATATTGAGGAAGATTTGCAATATGTAGTGGAGTTGGTGAACATTTATGTTTGCATGGCATAATTATAATTGTTATATAATTCTATAAATCTAAAAAAATTAAATATAAAATATAAAAAATAAATTTAAGATTAGTAAATTTAATTAATATATATGCTAGCAAATCGCCACTTTGCTATTCACAGTATCAGCACTACATATATATTAATTAAGAAATCTATAACTAAAATATAAAAAAATAAAAAAATAAAAGAATGATAAAAGAATTTAAAATGCAATAATCTCATAGTAGGCCGGGAAATAAAGACCTGTATTAAAAATATAATCAGCAGACTTAGCAAGATAGTTGAACCAGAGGTTTTACTATTTATATTTATATCGTCTACAATTATATGTAGATTTTAAATTCATCAATATATATGCTAGCAAATCGCCACTTTGCTATTTACAGTAACAGCACTACATATATATTAATCAAAAAATTTATAAAAAAAAAAAATTAATATATATGCTAGCAAATCGCTACTTTGCTATTCACAGTAACAGCACTACATATATATTAATCAAGAAATTTATAAAAAAAAAATTAATATATATGCTAGCAAATCGCCACTTTGCTATTTATAGTATCAGCACTATATATATATTAATTAAGAAATCTATAACTAAAATATAAAAAAATAAAAAAATATACTATTAATAAAAAAAAACTTGTAAAAAATTATAATTAATAACTAATACAAAAATATAAAAAATAATTAATATTAGTAAATAATATATATATATATAAAAATATATAAAAATATATATATATAAAAAACAAACCTTAAAATTAATAAAATATATAAAATATTATTATTAATAAATAAAAATAATAATAAAAACTAATTATATAAAAATATAATTATTAATAATAAAACAAAACAAACACGTAAAAATAAAATCATTATTAGTAAATCAAAACAATCACATAAAAATAAAATCATAATTAGTAAATCACAACAAACACGTAAAAATAAAATCATCATTAGTAAATCAAAACAAACATGTAAAAATAAAATCATTATTAGAAAATCACAACAAATACATAAAAATAAAATCATTATTAATAAAACAAAACAAATATGTAAAAATAAAATAATCATTAGTAAAACAAAACAAACTTGTAAAAATAAAATCATCATTAGTAAATAAAAACAAACACGTAAAAATAAAAGCATTATTAGTAAAACAAAACAAACACATTAAAATAAAATTATCATTAGTAAAATAAAACAAACACGTAAAAATCAAATCATTATTAGTAAAACAAAACAAACATGTAAAAATAAAATCATCATTAGTAAAACAAAACAAACACGTAAAAATAAAATCATTATTAGTAAAACAAAACAAACACATAAAATAAAATCATTATTAGTAAATCAAAACAAACATATAAAGATAAAATTATTATTAGTAAATCAAAACAAACATGTAAAAATAAGGAAAACAAACAAACATATGGGTTGAGTCAATAGAAACCAAGCAAATTTTTTTTAATAAGTTTTTTTTTAAATTTTAAACAAGAATAACTTAACAAAAACTTGATCAAATTTAATAAAATTTTTTTTAAATTA